TGCTAATATTCTGTTAGTGTCCAGAGAAAATGTGAAAACTTGATGGATTTTTTATGTTGTTATCTATAGTATTAGGTTTTTAGGGCTGCCGAGACCAAAAATGTACACTAAATGATCCAAAATTAGAAAATTAATACATGTAATCATGAAATAAACAAATCTAAGAAGTAAGAGAGGTCCACTCAAGGTACATGTACACTAAGTATCAAAGCAATCAGGCTTGTAGTTTTCAAGAAGTCAAACTAGCAGCCTGTCGGCTGAGATAGCTCCGCTGTTATCAATGCACATTTCAATTAAAGAACTGAAGATATCATCAGAAAATGAACAATATGTATAGTATTAAAGCAATCAGACTTGCTGTTTTCAACAAAAATTTGAAAATATAACTATATATCAAAAATATTCATTAAAATTAGATAATTGAAGAAGAAATAAACAATCCACTGCAAAAATGACGAGAACACAATAAAGAAATGCATAATTAGGGTATAAAATAAAATAGCTACGAAATAATATGATAAAATTACAATAACAAAAATGACAATAACATAGCAGTCCGAAACAAAACGATAAAATTATACAATATTATTAGCAGCTGTAGCTGCGCGATATTTAAAAGAGCGAGTGTGAGATTTTGAAATATGAAATCGATTTCTGGTGTTGTACCTATGTAGTATATATAATATCAAAGCAATTAGACTTGTGGTTTTTAACAAGAAGCCGAAAATATCACTTTTTACCAAAAATGACAAAAATATTCATGAAAATGAGAATTAAAGATATCATCACAAAATGAACAAATATGAGAGAGGTCCACCCAAGGTATCTACATACCAAGTATCAAAGCATTTGGGCTAGCGGTTTTCAAGAAGAAGTCGAAAATAGCATTTTTGACCAAAAATGACAAAAATATTCGCTATAAATATAACAATTGAACATATCCACACGAAATGAACAAATCTGAGAGAGAACCACCCAAGGTACCTTTCTAGAAAGTTTCACAGCTATACACAGTTTGTGGTTTTTAAGAAGAAGTCAAAAATGTAAAGTTGACGACGGCGACGGACAATCAGTAATACCATAAGCTCCGCTCGACTTTGTCGACAGCGGAGCTAAAAAGGAAGAAGGAAAAAAAATGTACACAGATGCTGACGAGCCATCACTTATATGATAAGCTTCGCTTAACAAAGTCGACGACAGAGCTAAAAAGCACTAATTATAGACATACCAATATAGAGTTTGATTTGCCAGTACTTAATTCATTTTTAACATATTGGCTACTTTATTGACATTGGCCGTTTATTCTATTGATTTGGATGTTCAAAACATGCACAGAATGGCCAAAACGTGCATATTTCATACAAATTAAAAACAAATTCATATGGTGTAAAGTACAATATAATCCACATGCAAAAAGTCATAAAAAGTACAAAATACCTTCTTAAAAGATTTCCCAGTGTGTGGTCTTCTTTGTTCACTGTAAACATGGCAGCATTAGGCACCTTTGTGTCTTTTGTGATAACAATTCTACAAAAATAATATATATCAAATCAAATCACTAATGGGTATTTACAATATGCTGGTGAAATCAAATTTAGGATATATAGTTTTGTTTATAGTAATATAGTTGGAACATAAACAAGCCAGAAATATGGATCCAGAAGATGATGCTTGATTATGATGATTTTTTTAACATTAAATAGATTGTACTCAAACGAGTACTTGTCCATATTGAGAAATATTGTTCTGCAACAGCATTAATTAAAACAAAATGGTCACTAGTCAACCATTTTGAATATCTATAACAAGATGTAAAACATATATATTAAATTTGAACATAATCAGTCAAAGCATATCAGATATAGCTCTAGAAGCGCATTCATTTAAACAAAATGGCCTCCAGTCAGCCATTTTGAATTCAATCTAAAAAATAAAATGACAACCATCAGGAATCCATAATCTCTAATGTATGTACCAAGTTTGAACAAAATCCATCCATAAATGTCAAGATCCAGTTCTGGAATGCCAGAAATGCTTGATTTTTGATGATTTTTTAACACAAAAATGGCTGCCATTTGGCCATTTTGAATCAGATAGTCAAACCAATATATCTATGTCATGATATTTCGTAATACAGTTCACAGGATGAACAATGAAAAAAGCACTGTGACGGTCTTACTAATCACCGTGGCGACTCGGGACCACAGTGGTGGGCAGGGAAAGCAGCGTGGCGGCCCGCACACAAATTGAATGCTGGGGAGAACACTGATGTATAATGAATATATAAAATTTGAACATAATCAGTCACAAGCAAGTCAGAGATATGGCACTAGAAACTGCATTCATTAAAACAAAATGACCACCAGGTGGCCCTTTCAATTCAATCTGAAAAATAAAATGACTTGTATCAAGGGTCCCATAATGTCCCATAACGTATGTACCTAAGTTTGAATACAATCCATCCATAAATGCTCGATTTTGATGATATTTTAGCACAAAAATGGCCACCATTCATGCCATCTTGAATCAGATCATGAAACAAATTAATGTGCATATTGTATAATAGTATGTATGATGTATGTGTAAAGTTTGAATGTGATTGGTCCAGGCATGTCTAAGATATAGGTCCGGACACACTCACGAAGGTCAGTCCATATAAAGTCCCCATTTTCAACTGCATTAAATGTCAATATTAGTGACAACACGTTTTGACATCTCATTAAAGAATTACTT